GGTTTTGAAAGGCTGATGGGAATGAATACATGCAGAATTAGAAGCCAGATTTTACATGCAAATAGAAATGTTGGGCATGGATGAATTAATTTACCCAATTCTAGTCTTTCATGATCAGGGCACAGTTGAACTTCAGGTCTGGACAGATGGAGCTATGGGTGGGGTTATGATACAAAACTTGGCTGATCCCGTGGGTTAGAGCAAACTGTCCTAGAGGATGTTAGCATTGAGCAAGCTAATTCTACTTTAAACTTGCCAAGCAACAGAGGAGTCTTCTTCCTGCAAGTTCTTGTGATAGCAAAGAAAGCTTCTAGTCCTAAAAATGCAGAATCAGGGAGGAGCTCAGGTGTGCAGGAGTTAAGATAAGGATGAAGATCTGGAACTTCTGAGTCACAGGTGTGAACTGACCAAAAAGCATAAAGTAAGAATCCGTTTACCAGATTCAAGAATGCAAGGTCAGAGTAGGCACTAGAGCAAGGCTGATTTAATACTGAGCCCCCAAACTGATACCTAAAGGTTTCCTATATTCTTCCTGACTAGGAATGGAATTGGTCTTAGAGCCTGGGGCAAAGTCAAGTCTCCAAATAGTCCACTCAGTGGTCCCAGCCTTGGGAGAGGAGAGCTTTAAAATAGGAAATTTGCTCCATCATTGGGTCGTCTTTAGAGACCTTTTTATCTGTGGACTTTTTTATCCCTTTCCAGGATTCCTAATTTTGGAGATCAATCAAGATCTAAAGGCAATTTTTGCCTTGATTACCAGGTATTATTCTTGTGACCCCTAACGAAGGTGCAACAGGGGGCCAAGCATCTTCTTCCTGGCATGGCTGCTGTTGTGCCAAGGTTTTACAGATGGCCCAGGGCCCTAGGTTTTTCCCTCCTCTAGTTTCCTTTGAATCTGCTGACTGAGGACTGAGTAATGGCTGGAAGTGTCTATGACTGAACTAAAATCTTCATGCTTCCAAAACACTAAGATAAATTTCCTTAATGGAACTGCTGGCTAGCAGAAAAAGATTCTATAGAATTCTTACTTGTACTTTTATCCAAAGCTTTTTTTCTCTGATTCCAAACTGCAGGCTCTTAGTAGATTGCTTAATTATTTGGAAAGGTGCTGAGCCAGCAGGTGGCCTTGCACAGCCGGGGTCTAACCATGCTGCAGCTGAGTGCTGCCTGTGTCCTACGCAAGTCTACGTCTCAGTAGACTGGCCCCTCAGGACCACTCAGGCATTCTCTCTTGTTCGGCCTTTTCAGTCCAGAATATCAGGATGGTGACTTGGAAAGAAAAGGGACAGGCAAGCTAGGAGAGCTGGGATCTGGTAAATAGGCACATGCAACACAGAGAGGCATGTTCTTGTGGACAGATGAGGATGAGCTGAGGAGGCTCAGCTGAAGGTGAAGAGAAATCCAGTGAAAGAGCTGATCTAATGTTCAGATTATGGACCCAAACGGTAGGCAGTCAAGAGGAGCACGGTATAGGGGGTAAAGGATGGTCTTCAGGTTTTCACAAATCCTAAGTGGAATTTAAAAACTTCCATTGACTAGACATTAATTCATCCATCCAGCACTTACTACAACCTACTATGTGCTCTACAGCTGCATTAGATGTTGCCAAGCCCAGATTCTGTCAGTGGAGTCAGGGTTTCTAGTACAAGTCAGAATAGGAGGAAATAAGGAAACTATTTGTTAAGTATAACATTAGGCACTTTCATACCGAGGATTTAATTTAATCCTTAAAACATTCTGTAGATATTATTATCTCCAATTCTGAAGAATGGCAAAGGAAGCACATTTCATGAAAGTAGGATCAAGTAGACTAAAACTAGAGTGAAGATGATCATCTGTGGGACCTGCTGCTTCCTTACCTGTAAAACAGATCAGATACCTGTCTTAGAGGATAGTTGTAAGGAGGAAATTGCATTCAATGGCAAATAGTAAAGTCCCTACCGTAGCCCAAGACGCTGGCTGAGCGCAAGGACTGGAGCCTGGCCAGGATCGCATGCAACAATGCTAGCACTGGGAAAAGGTGGCAGGGGCCATCCTGGCTGCAGGTAACATGGCTCAGAAATCCAGAGCTCAGCCACCAATCCTGAGGGGCCTGGAAAATCAAAGCAGGAGTGAATGGAAAGCAGATTAGTCATTAGCACAAAGCAGGAGCCCAGTCCCTAGAACTGAGGTGTGATGTTAGGGAAGGACTAGTCAGACGACTGGACAAGAAGGAAGTCAGCTATCAGAATTCATTGCTCCCATATTCCCATCTTTGGAGTTGTGGCTGTCGGTTCTTCCTTCCATGACTCAGTGACTACTCAGTTGTTCGATCTGCCTCCAGCCTTGTTTCTCAGACCCCAGGGACTGACTGTCTATGTTTGTCCTCCTGTCTTCTCCCTACTGATGTCAGCTAGGTTCATAGTAAACTCACTTAATGCTGAGTCATCCCAACTCAAGGGGCCTGGGACTGCCTGATGAGTTACCAGACCTGTAGAAGGCTGAGCCTACCAGCAGGAAAAGTGGGCCCAGATGAGGAAAGAAGTAACTGGAGACACAGAGTATCAGGCACTTCCTGCAGGGATCCTCTACCCTTTGCAGAACATGGTTGGTCTGTCTCAGCTTGGTCTCTGTTCTCAGTCTTTCTAATGTCTGTCTCTTTCTCACACACACATGCACCCAACACGATCTTAAGTCATGGATATGGTATGATGGTATCTAGGCCATACTGCTGCATAGAAGAAACTCTTCTTGCCCTTGACTTCTGCAGATTATGATTGTCTCCTTCTCATGAATATGTGAGGGAGACTCCAGCCTAGAGCTCAAAAAACAGGACTTTCTCTAACTCCTGTTCACCAATTATATCATAATTAAATAACAGGGGAGAAAGTTTGCTTTGTTTATGTCGTATTTATGTTTGTCTTAATTTATGAAATAGGACCTGGACTGCATTACAGAACTGTCACATTTCTCTAGGTTTAAATTCCAACGCATAATCCAGTCTGAAAAATTCTCTTTCTTGAACACCCACCAAGTTTGCACTAATCTGTTACTTGAACCCATGTCCACAGAACACCAGCAGAAAAGTTTTTTTTTTAAGATTTTATTTATTTGAGAGAGAGAGAGAATGAGAGAGAGAACACGAGAGGGGGGAGGGTCAGAGGGAGAAGCAGACTCCCCGCTGAGCAGGGAGCCCGATGTGGGGCTCGATCCTGGGACTCCAGGATCATGACCTGAGCCGAAGGCAGTCGCTTAACCAACTGAGCCACCCAGGCACCCCAGAAAAGGTTTTTAGATATGGAATCAGAAAGGATGTGATGGTGGAGAAGGGGATGTGTCAATGACAAACAGTATTTGAGTGAGTAGAACCAGGGATAGAAATTATTAAAAAGTTATGAAGAAATGCACAGGGTGATGTATAGAAGTGTTATTATATGGAACTATATTATACACTTGAAAGTATATTATACACTTGAAACTAATGTAACCCTGTATGTTAACTAACTGGAATTAAAATGAAAACTTTAAAAAATAAAAAAATAATAAATATGTAAGTAAAAAGACATGTTTGTAAACATATGTGAAGAAGCATATGGGAATAGCCGTATGGTTAACTTATTGAAACTACACTGTGAATAAATCCTCTTTCCAGCAAGATCCTTCATTAAAATGTGTTTGTAAACGTTAAGTGTAGAAGGATATTGGAATAGCCATATGCTTAACTCATTAAAACTATACTGTGTGTAAACTTAAAAAAATGTTATAAAGCATTCATTTTTTCGTTTAGAACATCATTTGCCATATCTCTGAATTCAAGTTCTTCCGCTCAATCATAGCTCAGATAAAACCTTGCTTTGATCATCTCAGTCATGAATAATGTCTTCCTTCTCAGAACTCCCTCAGACCCCCTTACGTTTCTCTCTCATCAGGCTCATTGCTTTGTACTGGGGCAGATCCAGATTCCATAGGTCCTGAAGTTTAAACAATTTTGGGGGACCTCTTTAGGAAAAATAATCGAAAGTGATTAATAACAAATTAGATATGAAAATGCATATTTGTTTAGAATAAAGAAATCACAAAAAATCAAGTCTTAATGAATTGATGAATACAACGAATATTTCAAAATCTAGGAAAATAACATTTTCATTCAGTAGCTACCGGTCTTTCTTCTGTAATGGCTGGTCACATGTTTTTATTGTTGATAACTGGAATGACTAGAATATAGAACTTCACGTATAGATGGACTCCCTCTTTGTAGTACTGCCTCCAGGTTGTGCCTCAAGACCTGTATATTCTATCATTTTGTGCAATTACCAACAAAAAGAAAGAATGGATGGTGCATGTGTATACAAATGTATAACCACTTACGCTGTGTTATTAAGAGGATTCCTGACTTTGGAAAGTTCTGTTCTGACCAGGCTCTGTTGAGAACCAAATCTCTGTTTACAGTTCTACATGTCTGATTGGAGGAATTCTCCAGACTCCTTTCTGGCTGCACACACGTCAGACCCTTGCATCTCCTCCAGGACCCACTTACTTCCTGGGCTGAGTGCCACAGGGCAGGTTCTTGTCATGGTAAAGCCTCTGTTCTATACCCTCAAGCCATGGACTCAATGAAGCAGCACAGGGGTAGTAAGACGTTTCTAGAAATCACTCTTACACCAGTGCAACTGGCAATCAGTTCATTCTAAAAGGAAGTATTTGTGAGCCCCCTACATATATTTCAGTAAACTCAACTACATGTGTCCTCAATACAACTTTTTTGTTGGGTCTCAGAAATGTCATTGGCCATTTCAATGGTAGGGAAAGTAAGACGGGAAAGAGACAGTTTAACTGTAGTTTTAAAAAAACTTCTCACTTTTGCAAAGTTTACCAGATTGTACGACCATATAAGTATGTTTATAGGGTCTCTCCCCGAGCATCAGAAGGGGCTCATGTAAGTGAGGGGCACTGACATTGGCGCTTCTTTCACTTCGTGTTAAATCTGCTTCCGATATAACTTTACATTGTAATAACTTATGTCCTCATTTAATTATGCCTTCTTTATTGAACAGCATTTTTACACTTCCAGTTCCTGATACAATTCTTTTCAAATAGAAGCAACTCAGTGGAATTAACTAAGTAATTCATATACATTAATGGGCAAGTTGGAATAACCTGATCTCTCTCCCAACATCAGTGTGCAGTGGAATATTCCAGGCTGTCCACCTTAAGTCTGCGCCTCCTCCTTGGTTGGGGGAGGTGGCAGGGCACTAGTCAGTAGCTTTGGTCTTGAGTTTCTCTGGAACCACAGGTCTTTTTCCAATGTCTCAAGATGTCAGAGGCTTCTTGATGAGGATTTCTGTAAGGATCATAATTTATTAGTTTAAATAATAAACTTTTTACTATAATTTAAAACAGAGTACAGTAAGAGACTGGTTAATTAAATTATGATGCATCTGAAAAATGTAATTGTATGTTAAAATGGGTGAGACAGAACTTTGACTTTTGAAATGGAAAAATATCCAAGGTGTATCATTAAGTGGGGAAAAAAATGCTTCACTCCAAAATCAGTTCAAAGCTCTCTAAGCAGCACCTTGGCCTTCCAGTTTGCCTGCTCAGGTAGCCCTACTACCACTCACTCTTCTGCAACGTCCATGAAAGGTCTATCCCCCAAACTCTACCTTTCTCCCTTTCTCCACTTCCTTCCTATCCAGTTTGGATTCCAAGACCCATTATTTCAACTATTCTCTTGCAAATACTCTAAACTCCCTTGGCCCTTGTACCTTTGCTTCCCCCACCATTTTTTTTTATTGTGGTAAAATACACAAAACATAAAACTCACCATATTACTAATTTTTAAATGTACAGTTCAATAGCATCAAGTACATTCACACTGTTGTGCAACCATCACCACCATTGATACACAGAACTCTCTTCATCTCGCAAAACTGAAACTCTTAGCAAATTTTTTTTCAGTTACCTTGGAGTTGATTAAACCAAGAGGAAAATGTTGTAATGTTTTCATGCAATATATATTTCGTTCTTTAAATGACACTTGTGACAAATAGCAGAAAGAATTAAGGAATGCTACATTTGTGATCCATACAAAACACCAACATTTGGGGTTGTACAAAATTTAAAGAAATGTCTCAAATACTTTGAAATACTGTAGGAGCCAATACATAGAGTTGTGCCTTTGGTGGGAATAAGAGTGCAGTTTAGGTCACGCTGGAACTACTCAATGTCTTTAAAATCACTGAGCAAGAAAAGCAACATCGGACTTCTATACTGACATAATGTCATCTAACAAGGCTCATCCCTTCCATAGCATGTGGCATCCTTTTCCAGGCTGAGTAATATTCTGTGGTACATGCATACCACACTTTGCTTATCTGGATACTTTGTGTTGCTTCCACATGCTAGCTAGAATTTTAGTTTTTACATTTTACATCTCTTTATAGATATTTCCATTTTGTTCACACATTGTTTACTTGGCTTTCTCCTCATCTTTTTTTAGTTCTTTGAGCATCTTTAAAACCATTGTTTTTTAATCTTTGTCTAGTAGGTCTATCATCTGGTTTTCCTCTGGGACTGTTTTTTTCACCCTTTGACCCTTTGACTGGATCATACTTTCCTATTTCTTTGTATTTTTTTGTGATTGTTTTGTTGTTGGTATTATTGTTTAAAACTGAAATTTTGCTTCTAATGATGTGATAACTCTGGAAATCATATTCTTCCCCTGCCCCAGGGTTCACTGATTTTTTTTTATCTTTTCTTTTTCTTTTCTTTCTTTTTTTTTTTCCTTTGATTTTTGTAGGCTGTCTCTTTGCTGAGGATTAGCCTGAGGTATAAACTTAAGGTCTTCTCAGGTCTTTTCTGAGCCTGCACCTTTCCCTGGGTATGTGTAGTAACTTTCTAATGGTCCCTGTATATGCAGTTCCTTTTGAATATTCTAGTCTTTAATGTCTGGCTCCCAATAGGGGACAGAGAGAAAAATTCAAGAGGGGAGTCACTAGACCTGTAAATGCCCTGAAAGTCACTTCAGCCGGGGTGAGGGAGGCTTGCAACAATGGCTGCAGTCCTCCTCTCTGTCTGCACATTGCGGTCAGGGCAGCAATCAGCGATCAGTGCACAGATACCCAGTATTTGAAGGACAGGATTTTTATTGCCCATCCTGGCTCTCCAAAGTTGTGCAAGCTGCTTTAAGAACACATACATGGCTGCTTGCCAGGGGAAAGGGGCAGTTTGGGGAGGTTGAAAGGATGTGGAGGTGGAAAATGCACAGCTGCTACCATGCTATGAACTGAAACTGATTGAACTTAGCCACAATTTACTGTCCAAGTTTTCCCTTGGAAGTTGCTTGACTCCAGAGTTCCAAAATAGTTACACAGGAGAGATTCTGCCAGTGCAATTGTTGTCTAAGTGGGAACACAGATGCCTGTGCTCTCTACTCTGCCATCTTCTCAGAATCCTTGCTGTACCTTTGGTTTTTAATGACACTTCCCTACCTGGCAAAAACTTCAACTTTGGACCAACCCGGTTGTTTCTCCTTCTTGTTTGCAATCAAGCAGTTGAATCCCACTAGAGAAAATCATTTTCCTGGATAGATTTCTAACCACCATAAACTAAAGATCACTAAGCACTACTGGAATCTACACATGCCAGCTAGAATTTTAGTTTTGCCAAATGCCAACCAACCTTTCTCAAAAAAGTGGTATCCACTTCTTCATCTTTCTCTTAGTCTTTTTTTCCTTTTAAAAATATGGACTATTTTAAACACCCTTTAGAACATAAGTTCTGTGAAGCTGGGGATTTTTTGTTGTTGTTGTTGTTCAATGCTCTATCCCCAGTTCTTAAAAGAGGGTTTGGCACATGGCAGGTATACACTTTGAATAAAAAACCCAGATAAGTATACAAATTAAAATAGAAAATGCACTTGTATCACCTCTTTTATCAGATTTGATGTATTACCATATTCTCTCCATATTTTTAAAAGAAATTAAGTATGGCAGGTAAAGTGGAAGCCTCCTATATACCCTTCCTGGATCCTATTCACCTCTCTCCATCCCCAGTGAGAGTTGCTGTCGATAATCTGCTATTTATCTTTCTTTTGTTCATCTCTACTAAATATTGTCAAATTATTCTCCAAATATTTTGTACAAATTAATATTTCCAACAGAAAGATTTGAAAGTTCTCCTTGCTCCACATCCAAGTCACCATTTGTTATTGTCAGACTTTAAATATTTTTTCCAATCTCATAATGTGAAATGGCAACTTATTTTGCATTTCTCTGATTACCGGTAAAAATTGAACCATTTTTCAGGTTTACTGGTCATTAGGCAATCTTCTTCCATAAATTGCCATCTCATATAATTTTGACTATTTTTAAAAATTAAGACTTTATTCTTTTAGAGCAGTTTAATGTTCACAACAAAATTGAGGGGAAGGTACAGAGACTTCCCACATACCCCTGCACCCACACATTAATTATTAGCATCACCTCAAAAGTGGTACATTTTTTACAATTGAAGAACCTCATTGATAACCTACATCATCACCCAAGGTGCACAGTTCACATTACGGTTCTCTCTTGGTGTTGTATATTCCATGGGTTTGGACAAATGTATAATGAGATGTACCTATCGTTATGGTGCCATACAGAATTTTCACTGCCCTAAAAATCCTCTATGCTTTGCTTATTCATTCCTCAACTCCCACAATACTTTGCCTATTTTTTATTGAGTTCCCTTTCTTTCTTTTTTGTTCTTTCTTTCTTCCTTCTTTTTTTCTTTCTTTTCCTTCCTTCCTTCCTCTTTTTCTTTCTTTCTTTCTTTCTTTCTTTCTTTCTCTTTCTTTCTTTCTTTCTTTCTTTCTTTCTTTCTTTCTTTCTTTCTTTCTTTCTTTCTTTCTTTCTTTCTTTCTCTTTCTTTCTTTCTTCCTTCCTTCCTTTCTTTTTCTTTCTCTCCTTCTTTCTCTTTCTGTCTTTAATTTGTAGGCAACCATTATATACTCTGGTAACTGATCAACTATATGCATTGTCAATATCTTTTTTTTTGGTTTGTGCTTTATTGTAAATTTATAGTATCTTTTTTATGAAGGAGTTTAATATTTTAAAGGAGTCAAATTTATCAATTCTTTCCTTGATTGCTTTTGTATGTTAAGAATGCTCTTCTCTCCACCTTCAAGTTTTTTATTGTTATGTTAATCACCATACATTACATCATTAATTTTTGATGTCTCCATCTTCAAGTTTTAATGACATTTTTTAATGCTATGTTCTAAATATTTAGAATGCTACTCTACACATTTAGTATTTAATTCAGCCTGGAAAATAAGCTCAGAACTAAGTCTTATCTTTTTCCATATTGATAACTAATTTTTCCACCACTATTTTATTACTCCACTGATCAGTAATACAACTCCTGACAAATATTAAATATCACTGCATGCATGGGACTGAACTCTGTATTCTATTCTGCTGGGCATCTTGTGCCACAAATGTATTAATCAGTATAATTTTGTCAAAAGTATTGATCTCTTCCCCAGCTTGTTCTTTAAATATTTTTTAGCTATTCTTGTCCTTTTCTCTACCATATGAATATTAAGGACACTTGTCAAGTTCTATATAAAACTGGGATGATATTTTAAACGGAATTAGATTTTACACTGAATTTATAAGTTAATTTGCAAACCATTGCCTTCTTTATTATAATGAATCTTCCAATCCAAAAACATGGCTTTTATTCAACACTCCTCCATTTATTTGAGACTCCCATTACTTTGACAATGAATTATTTATTTATAATTGTCTAGTACAACTTTCTTGGGTTTATCCTTAGGTAAATTATGTTTTGTTTTATTTTGTCATTGCAGAAAGTATGCTTTATGAGTTGCTTTCATAATGGATTTGGAATGTTATTATGTTGAACTTGTATGCAAAAATTTCGACCAACTTTCAATTTAGTTTTAGAATTTTATATTGGTTTATTACTAGAAATAATATTACAGTTAGGTTTTAGATGTACATAAATATGCCTCATGGCTTTCTTTCAAATTCTTGTACCTCTTATGTTTTTGTTCATCTACTAGATTGTCTAGAATGTCTAGCACACTGTTGAATAGAAGTGGTGACATGAAATATCTTTATTTGGCCCCTGACTTTAATGCAAGTGTTTTTAAAGTCTCATCAATATGCATGATTATTGTAGGTTTTGAATATTGAATAATGTTCCCTTCTGTTCCTAGTTTGCTAAGATTTTTAAAAATAATTATGAATTGATTTTTTTAACATATGCTTTTTCTGGAATTAGGGAGATAATCATAAAGACTGTCTTAATCTCTGTATCAAAAGATTTTAG